TGCTGACCTTAATGCCTGAGCAGCTGATGTCTGATTTAGAAAGTACTTTCCTACACCTACTCATGGTCAACATCATTCTAAATGGAGAAAAACTGGAAGCATTCCCATTGAAATCAGGAAATAGACAAGGCTGCCCACTATCCCCCCTTCTCTTTAACATAGTATTTGAAACTCTTGCAAGAGCAATAAGACAAGAGCAGGAAATTAAAGGAGTAATAATTGGAAAAGAATAATTGGAAAAGTGATATCAAATTACCACTTTTCGCAGATGATATGATATTATAACTGAGAGATGGCAAAAATCCCACCTGATAATCCTAGAAATTAGTAATACATTCAGTAAAGTGGCAGGTTACAAAATTAACATACAAAAGTCTGTAGCCTTTCAATATACCAATAATAAGCAATCAGAGAAAGAGCACATGGAAACACTCACGTCATTCACAATAGATACAAAAAAAATATCTTGGAATAAACCTGACCAAAGACATTAAAGAGCTCTACAATGAAAATTTTAACTCTTTAAAGAAAGAAATTGAGGAAGACATCAGAAGATGGAAGGACCTCCCATGCTCATGGATTGGAAGAACTGATACTGTGAAAATGACCATCCTACCAAAAGTCATTTATAGATTCAACTCAATGCCAATTAAAATCCCCAGGACATTTTTCATGGAATTGGAAAAAACTACCCTAAGATTCATATGGAAGCACAAAAGAGCTTGGATAGTCAAAATAACCCTGACACTAAGAGCAATGCCAGGGGATTACTATACCAGATTATAAGCTGTATTACAGAGCTATAGTCATAAAAACAACATGGTACTGGCACAAAAAAGACACATAGATCAATGAAATAAAATTGAAGACCCAAATATGAGTAAATGCAATTTCAGCCACCTGATATTTGACAAAGGGGACAAGAATATTCACTGGAGGAAAGACATGTTCAGCAAATGGTGCTGGCAAAACTGTATCTCCACCTGCAGAAGAATGAAACTAAACCCCTATCTTTCACCCTCCACAGAAGTAAATTCCAAATGGATCAAACACCTCAATGTAAAGCCTGAAATTCTGAAACTGTTAGAAGAAAGCATTTGCAAAAACCTACAAGATATAGGCGTAGGAAAGGATTTTCTAAACTGGACATTAATTGCTCAGGAAACAAGGGCAAGAATTAACAAATAGTACCTCATTAAACTAAAAAGC